AAGTAAAATACAGGAAGAGTCAAAAGTCTAAGTTTACTTAGACAGTTTAGCCAGAGGGATATGCTTACCAGGATCTCAGACTAAATTCCTGAGGGAAAAAATGTGAAGATATTCTTGTGTTCCAATATTTTTTAAATGTTTACATTTTGAGTATCATTAGTAATGCTTATTAAATAATTAAGTCATAGCCACAAAAGAAGGTTAGTATTCAATTAAATTTGTTTCTATGAATAATCATATCTGACTTGACCGTTTATAGTTCATGATGCATGATCAAAACTGAAAGTTTCTGTGATATGACTGCCCTTGTACTGTTCACCATGTAAGAACTTATTCTCTATGTAAGAACTTGTTCACCATGTAAGAACTTGTTCGTTATGCTTCAGAAGACTGGAGACTGTTGAGAATTAGGCTTGGGGTTGATTAATGATTGTGCATTGAGTCCCCTATATAGAATTTTATTGTTGTTAACAACCATTTGATCAATATATATGAGAGATGCCCTCTCAAAAAAAAACAAAACTCCATGAAATCTGTAGCAACGTAAATCCTTTTTTTGATGTACAGAAACTACAAAGACTTAATACTATGTTAGAGTTTCTTAAATGTATCTTTTGAGATATTATTTTGAATAAAGGCAAAAATATTAAACCTATCTTAAGTATTTTATATAATTTGTTGACTAAATGTTTACTATTTTTCAGGAGAGGAAAAAGTTGGAAGACAATTGATATTCCACCTCCTATGCTTTCCAAAGATTCACATTGGTAGTAGGGAATAAAAGCTGGAGAGAAGGAATGGGTTAGAAATGTGGCATGATGAAGGAAAGAGAAGGCAAGGGTTGCTTTGGTAGCAAAATCAGTGTCCCATTACCATTTGTTTCTATGCCTGCTACAGTGATTCTTCTTAACCAAAAACGATCTCTAGGGCCTTGAGATATTCAACAGAACAGAATACTTAAAATGAAACCTGAATCAAGATTGGTATTACCTGGATCAGGGGTCAGTAAACTTTCTGTAAAAGTGCCTTACGGTCTCTGTAACAACTTACCTTTGCTTCAGTAGCACAAAAGTAACCATATATACGATTTGAAAAAATGAACGTGGCTGTGTTGTATAGAGCTTTATTTATGAACAACAAAATTTGAATTTCACATGACATGAAATACTACTTCTGATTTGATTTTTTTTCCCATTCAAAAGCTTTAAAACCATTCTTAGATCATGGGCCCTACAAAAATGGACAGCAGGAAAGATTTGAAATGTGAGCAATAGTTTGCCAACCCTTGATCTAAGAAAAATATTCATAAACTAAAAAATTAATAAATAAACAAAACAGGGGATACAACTTTTTTAGGACCTAGACACTGGTCTATAGGTCATACTATATTTTAATACCTAGGATTCAGTCACTTTGATATTGTGAGGAGGAACATATAGATTTACTTGAGCTTATAAGTAACACTGAAGTAATCATTACAAATTTGAATACTTAAACTTCAAGAATTTTTAAATCCATATGTCTAGTAACAATTAGACTTCATTTTAATTACAGTCTAGGAAATGACATTTGGAAAGCATTTACTCAGTCTAGATCACAAGCAGTTATGAGGAATGTCAAATATGACTTAGAATGCTTTGTGATTTTTGGAAAGTATAACTGATACCTTTTGATAAAACTTTTATTTATTCTAATTTTAATGCTAGAAATAGCTTGACACAAGAATCTGAATGGGCACATGAAACACATCTACAAAACACTAAAAATTAGGAGGCTAAAATATGTTTTTCACTTAGATGGCTCATCAAAAAATCCTTGAATTCTAATTGATGTTTTGCTATAATTAATTATATAATAAATTAGTCCAATATCATTTATAGTAGAAGAAAAAAATTTTCAATTACTAACACTTATCTAACAGAAAATGGCCCCAAATTTAGACATTTCCTCACCTAACAGAGGATGTTCAGAAGTTAAATCCTCCCCTCTCCCCACAGTTACAGCTGCTGGAGACAGTGTAGGGGGTGGTGGGGTTCTATCCATCCGGACACATTCATCTGGTTCTCCGGGCATTTCCTCTTCACACACATCTTCTACTTGATAGACCTGCGACAACAAACCCACTGCCTTAAAATGTTCCTGCAAATATATTTAGTAAGATGCTCCTGACTTAATTTTCTAAAAATTAATTCTGAGTTTCAAATACTAAAATAAGGCAAAATGACCATTTGACAGATTGAAAGGAAAACTTTAAAATTGTTCAAATGAAATTTTTCATAATACTTGACAATATTTCACTAAAAGCAAGCTGTGGATCAGTATGTATGCTACAGATCACTATAGTTTCCAAAAAGGTGATAGTCAATTCAGGACATATTTTTAATATTGAGAATTTTCTAAAGTTTTTATTTTATACACTCAAGTAACTATTTACTATTGTTCCTATTAACTGCTGTCATAAATAAAATAGAACAAATATTTTTCACAAGTGCACTAAGTAAATCTCAACAAAATGACACATGATATGTCAAGAAATGTACTACCTAAAGGACTACATCCCAGGCTCTTCTTTTATTATATATATATATGTAAATTAAAGATTAAAATTATGAAAAGTAATCTGAGTACCTACAAAAAAGGTATGAAATTACATCTTTTCTTTAACCTTCTGATTACTCAAGAACCTTATGAATTATTATAAGTTAAAATATCAGGTAAACAGAAAATAACTGTCCTTGAAATGATACACACATACACACACCCCATTCTAAGCCATTTGATACATTATTTTCAGTTCTTTAATACTGCTCATACTTATGGAGGAAAGTTTTTAAGTCTTTTAAAACTTAGCTACCTTGTTATCCAACGGTAAAGATCATAGTTAAGAAGGAAATGGGACTCAAAGCACTCTGAGAAGGATCTATATGACTAAAAATAACTAACTTATTAATAATTTTTCATTAAACTTAAGGCTGAATTTTTGAAGTCCACTTCTAGAGATTGGTACAAGTACAAAGCAGTTCACCTCCCTTCTTTTATATATGAAGCTTATTACTTAAATTTACAAAGGCCATGAGTTTTTAAAATTACTTACCAAACTAATGTTAAAACAAAAAATCATTCAACATTAACAAAAAACTTTGACACCTAACCTTGTAAACCTACTGAAAAAGTCTGATAATTTAAAAGTACATAAAATTAAATATGAAAATGATCAAGATTTTTGAAATCAGCATAAAAAGGACTACAAAAATTCAGCTACAAAAACATATCTAACAATGATATTAAAAAAGGATGAAAATACCTTCCAAGCCTCTAAGAATAAAATATCTTCTATTTGCCTTTTTAAATACTTTAAAATCTTGTTACTGACAACTTTATATCAAATATATCCAGAACTGTGATCTGAATCAGCAATTAAGCAGGCAATATTTAAAAAAATTATTTGTTCACAACACTGAATTTGGAAAGTTATTTCACCAAGAGAGATTCCTTGCCTCATATCTGGATCTTTGAAGTGAAAGCAGACGTTCATTTAGTACAGTACAACAATGATAGCTGCCAATAATTTTAAGTGATAATAATGTCCAATGCAGGGAAAGTCATCCAAAAAAAATGTCCTGGGGGTTAAAGGGGAAAAAACCTTCTGGTGAGGGGCATCTGCTGTAGCAATGATTACCTTAATTAAGCAGAATTAAACCTATCTTAAGTATTTTATATAATTTGTTGACTAAATGTTTACTATTTTTCAGGAGAGGAAAAAGTTGGAAGACAATTGATATTCCACCTCCTATGCTTTCCAAAGATTCACATTGGTAGTAGGGAATAAAAGCTGGAGAGAAGGAATGGGTTAGAAATGTGGCATGATGAAGGAAAGAGAAGGCAAGGGTTGCTTTGGTAGCAAAATCAGTGTCCCATTACCATTTGTTTCTATGCCTGCTACAGTGATTCTTCTTAACCAAAAACGATCTCTAGGGCCTTGAGATATTCAACAGAACAGAATACTTAAAATGAAACCTGAATCAAGATTGGTATTACCTGGATCAGGGGTCAGTAAACTTTCTGTAAAAGTGCCTTACGGTCTCTGTAACAACTTACCTTTGCTTCAGTAGCACAAAAGTAACCATATATACGATTTGAAAAAATGAACGTGGCTGTGTTGTATAGAGCTTTATTTATGAACAACAAAATTTGAATTTCACATGACATGAAATACTACTTCTGATTTGATTTTTTTTCCCATTCAAAAGCTTTAAAACCATTCTTAGATCATGGGCCCTACAAAAATGGACAGCAGGAAAGATTTGAAATGTGAGCAATAGTTTGCCAACCCTTGATCTAAGAAAAATATTCATAAACTAAAAAATTAATAAATAAACAAAACAGGGGATACAACTTTTTTAGGACCTAGACACTGGTCTATAGGTCATACTATATTTTAATACCTAGGATTCAGTCACTTTGATATTGTGAGGAGGAACATATAGATTTACTTGAGCTTATAAGTAACACTGAAGTAATCATTACAAATTTGAATACTTAAACTTCAAGAATTTTTAAATCCATATGTCTAGTAACAATTAGACTTCATTTTAATTACAGTCTAGGAAATGACATTTGGAAAGCATTTACTCAGTCTAGATCACAAGCAGTTATGAGGAATGTCAAATATGACTTAGAATGCTTTGTGATTTTTGGAAAGTATAACTGATACCTTTTGATAAAACTTTTATTTATTCTAATTTTAATGCTAGAAATAGCTTGACACAAGAATCTGAATGGGCACATGAAACACATCTACAAAACACTAAAAATTAGGAGGCTAAAATATGTTTTTCACTTAGATGGCTCATCAAAAAATCCTTGAATTCTAATTGATGTTTTGCTATAATTAATTATATAATAAATTAGTCCAATATCATTTATAGTAGAAGAAAAAAATTTTCAATTACTAACACTTATCTAACAGAAAATGGCCCCAAATTTAGACATTTCCTCACCTAACAGAGGATGTTCAGAAGTTAAATCCTCCCCTCTCCCCACAGTTACAGCTGCTGGAGACAGTGTAGGGGGTGGTGGGGTTCTATCCATCCGGACACATTCATCTGGTTCTCCGGGCATTTCCTCTTCACACACATCTTCTACTTGATAGACCTGCGACAACAAACCCACTGCCTTAAAATGTTCCTGCAAATATATTTAGTAAGATGCTCCTGACTTAATTTTCTAAAAATTAATTCTGAGTTTCAAATACTAAAATAAGGCAAAATGACCATTTGACAGATTGAAAGGAAAACTTTAAAATTGTTCAAATGAAATTTTTCATAATACTTGACAATATTTCACTAAAAGCAAGCTGTGGATCAGTATGTATGCTACAGATCACTATAGTTTCCAAAAAGGTGATAGTCAATTCAGGACATATTTTTAATATTGAGAATTTTCTAAAGTTTTTATTTTATACACTCAAGTAACTATTTACTATTGTTCCTATTAACTGCTGTCATAAATAAAATAGAACAAATATTTTTCACAAGTGCACTAAGTAAATCTCAACAAAATGACACATGATATGTCAAGAAATGTACTACCTAAAGGACTACATCCCAGGCTCTTCTTTTATTATATATATATATGTAAATTAAAGATTAAAATTATGAAAAGTAATCTGAGTACCTACAAAAAAGGTATGAAATTACATCTTTTCTTTAACCTTCTGATTACTCAAGAACCTTATGAATTATTATAAGTTAAAATATCAGGTAAACAGAAAATAACTGTCCTTGAAATGATACACACATACACACACCCCATTCTAAGCCATTTGATACATTATTTTCAGTTCTTTAATACTGCTCATACTTATGGAGGAAAGTTTTTAAGTCTTTTAAAACTTAGCTACCTTGTTATCCAACGGTAAAGATCATAGTTAAGAAGGAAATGGGACTCAAAGCACTCTGAGAAGGATCTATATGACTAAAAATAACTAACTTATTAATAATTTTTCATTAAACTTAAGGCTGAATTTTTGAAGTCCACTTCTAGAGATTGGTACAAGTACAAAGCAGTTCACCTCCCTTCTTTTATATATGAAGCTTATTACTTAAATTTACAAAGGCCATGAGTTTTTAAAATTACTTACCAAACTAATGTTAAAACAAAAAATCATTCAACATTAACAAAAAACTTTGACACCTAACCTTGTAAACCTACTGAAAAAGTCTGATAATTTAAAAGTACATAAAATTAAATATGAAAATGATCAAGATTTTTGAAATCAGCATAAAAAGGACTACAAAAATTCAGCTACAAAAACATATCTAACAATGATATTAAAAAAGGATGAAAATACCTTCCAAGCCTCTAAGAATAAAATATCTTCTATTTGCCTTTTTAAATACTTTAAAATCTTGTTACTGACAACTTTATATCAAATATATCCAGAACTGTGATCTGAATCAGCAATTAAGCAGGCAATATTTAAAAAAATTATTTGTTCACAACACTGAATTTGGAAAGTTATTTCACCAAGAGAGATTCCTTGCCTCATATCTGGATCTTTGAAGTGAAAGCAGACGTTCATTTAGTACAGTACAACAATGATAGCTGCCAATAATTTTAAGTGATAATAATGTCCAATGCAGGGAAAGTCATCCAAAAAAAATGTCCTGGGGGTTAAAGGGGAAAAAACCTTCTGGTGAGGGGCATCTGCTGTAGCAATGATTACCTTAATTAAGCAGAGTTGTGGGGGTATTGATCAGAGGTAATTAAATAAGCATAGGTTTATCAACCAGTTCAACTGTATCTAAGTAGCATTTCTTTGCTAGATATTACTTTTATTCCAAAAATTATCTAATTTTTTTAAAGATGATCTCACTTTAAAATGCTGAAAGCCTCTCTTTCAATAGTATTGCTGTCACAAATTTGAAAAACCTTTAAGGTTTTTCTAAAAACAGAACCCTTTAAAGAATCAGTTTCATCATGCATAGAACTCTAATTTTTAAAAAGTAATAAAAAGTTTTAAAGGATAAAAAGAGGCATAACAATTGCCACATTCTGAAATAACCTGTTAAAGAATACTATACTTTTTTTCTTTATAGTTCAGCCTAACTATACATACTTTCTTCTAAATCTCCCATGTAAAGACAAAATACATGATAAAAGTAGGCAAATTCAGATCTGTCAGATTTTTTTAGGCTGATGGTGTCAGATGTCTAAGTGCCAACAACTAAAATATTGAATAGAGCAAAGAACTAAAGGTTTTGCTCACAAGATCATTAGGGAACTGCACATTACAATTTCTACCTGGTTCATAACTACTGCTCTATAACTAGCAATGACTGTCACACTTACTTCAATAAAAGACATCAGTTCCACCTCTCTAGCCTTTCAAGTAACCTAGAAAACTTACCAGTTCTAAATTTCTCTCTTCAGAAGTAAATTTAAACCTCTACCTTCAAATATTTGAAAAAATCAGGAAACTGTGAAGAAATGTGCAATTCGTAAAGGAGTATGATTTAATTAAAAATAGATTTGATCAAAGTTCACAGAAGAAAAACATAGCAATTTAATAGTCTATGGTAGTCAAAGAAAGGTAAAAGATAAGAAAAGATAACATGGAAACATCTACAGCAGCATGACCATACCAGTGATAAAGCTTGATGACAAAAAAAAAAAAATGAGATAACAAAAAGAAATTTTTTTAAAGAAAGGAAGGCAGAATGTAACAAAATAAGACTTTAAATATTTTTAGTTTTAAGTGTTATTATGTTTTTGGTATTTCCATCCCCAAATATGTTCCTCCAAAGTTGTCCTAACAAAAGCAATTAGAAAAATGTAAGACATATACAGAGAAACTTTTTTTACATGTCAACCAATTCACTGAACTAGAAAGTAAAAATATAAATTTGAGTTAAATTTGATTTCTTATTTCTTTGAAGGTACTGTACAATTCAAAGCCTGTTTTGATGTTATATTCACTGTAAACTCTTCAAAAACCCATTAAAAGAAAATATATATACAATTGAATGACAAACTTATTTCTAGATTCCATTGTTTTAGCCAAGTTGTGTTTTTAATGGAAATGAATACGAAGTGGAATTTAATCTCTGTATGTCCATTAAGATCAGTCAGAATGATGGGAATAAATAATTTACAAAGTTACATTCTGAGAACCAAAATGTTCCCATTAAGAAACAGACTTTGATACTCCTTTCCTTTCTGAATTAATGGTTATTAATCTTTAAATGATAAGATCTCTTCAGTGAGGTTTATTATAAAACTCCTTTGAGAAAATTGTTTTCCTCAGTTATAAATGAATTATGAATTTGATCATTCTGCCTAAACAGTGAGACATTATTCAATTTCTATTGTAACTTATTTTATAAATTTAAAATGCCCTTTAGAGAATAATCAAAGAAAAACATTTTTCAAGACAATTTTCTTTTGTAGGCAACATGTACTATTTTTAGAAGTTTATTCTGATACATTGTACCATAAACTCAATTATTCAAAACTTTTACTCCTTCCAATATAGTATTTTTTCATCTTCAGTATTTAATTCATCCACTGACAATTTTTTTTAGGTTTTCAAATGAAAACTAGTCTAGGTTTATATTTTCCCTTAGTAGAAATACAAAAATCACAAGTTTAGTAATTCTAAAAGATGACCTACAGATGTTTTTTACAAAATTGGATTCTTTCCTCAAATAAATGTCTTTTAATTACAAAATACAATTTTACCAAAAATTACATCATATAAGCATACCTTCACTTTGAAAGAAAAGCCCCTAAATGCCCAGGACTTTAGAATGCATACAACCAAAGAGGTTAGCTAGATAAACCATACGTTTAAGAACATACAAGCCAACAGAAGGGATCTATGAAGGATAATCACCTTAAGAGAAAAAACTTTGTGCAGATGACACTGGTTCAAATGCATTCCCTTGGGGAAAAAAAATCAACTCTGTAAAGATAGCAGATGGATTTGTTTAAATAGTAATAAAATTAACGAGGGATTTTAATAACCACCACAAATTATCAAGCATGCAACCATACTACAACAAGCGGTATTTTTTGTGTATGTCCATACAGCATGTTGTCAGACACTGACAGATGGAAATTTAAAGCTTTTTAAATTCATAGGCATTTAGATCTAGCAATATAACATAAAGTGGGAAAACATTCTTTTTACTTTCAGTTCAGCAAGAAAGTCAAAGAGCTTCCAAGGGCTTACCACTGGTGGATCAACAGGTGCTGGTGGTTGTACTTGCAGGTTTACTGCAACAGTCTGTGGAGGAGGAAGAGTCTGAAATGGTAACTGGACCAAAGCTTCTGCAGCTGGAAGCTCCTCTTCTGACACCAAAGCATTCTGCACCAAAACCTGACCCTGGGACAGAATTTCAGGCTGCACTTGTAAAGACTGCATAGACTGCAAGGGCAGTGGTGGAATCTGAGCTGGAGGAGATGTTGACATCTGCGGAGGAGTTGCAATTGGGATTGGAGAAGACTGCAGGGTTGAATATTGCTGGTGTGATGTTGGAGACACAATCTGCTGACCTGGGGACACCAAGGCAGACTGCTGCACTGGGCCAAGGTGTACAACAGGGGAAGCTGTAAGTGGAAGATGGGATGGAAGACTCAGCTGAGGTGAAGGCTGCACCTGGTTAGCAGTGGACTGCTGCAAGTTTGGTCCTGACTGAAGAGCCGGTGACACAAGAGAGTGTGGCTGAATAAGGGCTTGTGGGTGAATAATTATAGTAGGAGACTGACTTGGTGAATGAGGCGGTGGAGGGGACACCACTACCGACTGCTGTGCTGATTGTGACTGGCTCGGGGACACTGTTAAAGGAGGAGCGTGACTCTGAATCGGGGAACAGTGCTGTGGCTGGGCAGCCCCAGCGGGAAGGCCGTGGTTAGGGAGCGGAAGGCAATGCTGAGGTGGGGGAGGGTCCTGGACCGAGCCCGGAAGTGTGACCGGAAGCTGAGTCTGCGGCTGCTGCAGTACCAGCTGATGATGGGCGACCCTGGGCGGTGCTGAGTGAACAGGGATCTGCTGATGTTTTATTAGAGGATGAGGTTGAACTGGAGGATATGAAGCTGTGAGAGAGAAAAATGACAGTTAGGAGGTATTTCAAAAATATCACAGAATTTAAAAAATAAAGCTAAAGGTGGAAAGTTGTCATTTCAGGTCAGAATCATGAGAAATCTATTACAAGTCTTCCAGACAAGAGTGACTTGAAAACATAATGACAAACAACTTCTTGTTAGAAACAGAAAGATTTCATAAAGTATGCTATACTGTCTAAGTTCCAAAGGAAAACTGCCTAAAACAATTGATTCATAAGTCTAAATCTACACAATTTCTTATTAAATTTTATAGGTCATCAGAATATCTGCATTAACTTTTAACAAAGTTTAGTCACTTGAATTCATTTTTTGGGGGAGGAGATCACTGAATATGTACAATTAATCTGTGCAGTTAAGTTTAAATCATAAAAATGCAATATTAAGATTCATAAAATAAAGATCTCATCCTTTATAATCTATGTTTAGACATTCTTCCAACTAATAGTCTATGTACCTATATATGAATTTCCGAATCTGAGCCTAGAAGAGTTGGTATTATTTGACCCAGAGAGAGAAAATGTTATGTAAAAAAAACTAGATTCAGTTAAGCAAAAACACATGTGTGAATTCTATAGCACAGTTAAATAATCATTTTAACTAAGAAATGAAATTTCAGGTGCTATTCCAAACCTAAAAGAGCACTAGTTTGCTTGCAAAGAGAATGTCCATGCTATATGAATAAAGGATCTTGTTTTTTCTCTCCCCCTCAACAAACAAAAAAACCCTACAGTAATCTTTAAGTGACAGTATTAGTTCTCCCCACAGAGAAGCCACTCACAACAGGAAAAAAATAAAATATAAATAAGCAACATCAAGTAATTAGTTTCCCCACCATTATGCCTCTTCTGCATTTCTGTGGTACATATATTTACACAGAGGGAGATGGTGGTAAAATCTATCTACACAAGAAATGAAACTGGGTTCACTAGAGGATTAACTGAACATTGCTTGATATCATGTAAAAATTATATACATTTAAAATAGACCTAAAGACAGGGCAACAATTTTATTTTAATCCCTGAATTTAAGATAAAGACTCTAATGCCTTGCATCTATTTTTATGTTTAACCACATTTGTGACAAAGGCCTTATACAAATTTCTAACAATTTTTAATTAAACATTTTTGTATTTGGTTGATTACTTAAAAATTTGGAAAACCATTAAGGAAATTAACACCCGATTAACAACTCAAGACACAATTAGAAGATTCAACAAATATCCACCAATTGTTTAAAAAAATAAAAATTAGATTTAAAATTTCACCTAACAATAATTTTCACATGACTAGCACTTCAAACTAAGACTGAAAATTTTATGTCAGTATTATATAATTGTGTTGATAAAGACCCTAATATAAAGTAAAATGCTGAATTTCTATAGAGTGCCTTTTGTCCAAAAGGCTCAAGGTGCTTTCATATCTTTCTTATTTGTTCTCATTAAATGCCTTTGGGGTAGGGAGGTATTAATATTCCCCTTGTACAGCTAAGGAAATAATAAATTTTTGCAAGCACAATAGCAAAGACATATTGAAATTGAATTTTTTAAGCTATAATTAAAATTTACCACATTATTGAAATACAAGCGTATTATACTCATGGGAATTAAAAATTCTGTGCTTTAGCAAGTAAGCAATCTTTTTTTATAGTCTAGAGCTGATAATTCAATAGATTAATAGTCTAATCCTTTCCCCATGATGTCTGATCAAAGAAAAATTTAAATAATCTGTATTTTATGTTCATCCATAAATTCAACTGACAATCACATGTATTACAGAGTAACCATCAGGACATCCGAAGCAATACCACTGTACAAGAAAAGCCCTAGTGCTCTGGAGAATCATATCATGTTTTTTCATTTCTCTGATTTAACAAATACTTTATTATTGTCAGGGGGGGCCTTATACTTGGAGAATTAATGATTGGCATCATCCATCTAATGTGTAGAACTCATTCACAGCAAGATGGCGGTGTGAGTAGGACAGTGGAAATCACCTCCCAAAAACATATATATTTTTGAAAATACAACTATCCCTAAAAGAGAGACCAGAAGATATAGGACAACAGCCAGACTACATCCACACCTGCAAGAACCCAGCGCCTGGCAAAGGGGGTAAGATACAAGCCCCGGCCCAATGGGACCTGAACACCCCTCAACCCAGCTCCCAGCAGGAGGAGAGGAGTTGGAGCAGGGAGAGAGAGGGAGCCCAGGGCTGTTAAACACCCAGCCCTAGCGATCCGCACCCAGAGTGCAGACACATAGTGCGTGGCGAACTGGATACCAGGGAAACAGGACAATAAGAACTGTGAATGGGTCCCCGCAGCTGGAGGCCCGGGGACAAAGAAAAGCGAGTGCTTTTTGAAAGTCTTAAAGGGACAGGGACCCCACAGCTAGACGGAACTGTCCTGGGACACTAAGTCCAGCAGCTGGGAATCCTGGGTAACTCCAGGTGCCCTAACCACCCGGGCAGCAGCTCTGAGGACCCTCATGGAGATAAACAGCCCCCTGTCTGTTCCCCCTCCAGCACCCCACCATAGCACAGCAGCAGCCTGAGGCTGGCCATGCCCACAGCAAGGAAGATTCCTCCATAGCAGCCGGGCAAGAAACAGATACTCAGTCTAGCGCAACTGCCCAACATAAGCCACTAGGGGTCACTGTAGTCCCAGTAAAGAAAGGCCAGGAGCAAGTGGAAAGGGTCTTGGTTCTTCCAGATGACAGACGAGTCAACAGCATACCACTGCATCTATCAACATGAAAAGGCAAAAAAATTTGATCCAGACCAGATTAACCCAGACATCTTCCACATCATCCCCTGAGAAGGAATCTAGGGAGATAGATCTAACCAATCTTCCTGAAAAATAATTCAAAACAAAAGTCATAACCATGCTGATGGACTTGCAGAGAAATATGCAAGAATGAAGGAGGGAGAATACAGAAATAAAACAAGCTCTGGAAGGACTTCAAAGCAGAATGGATGAGATGCAAGAGACCAATAATGGACTAGAAATCAGAGAACAGGAACGCAGAGAAGCTGATGCAGAGAGAGATGAAAGGATCTGCACGAATGAAAGAATATTAAGAAAACTGTGTGACCAATCAAAATGGAACAATATTCGCATCATAGAAGTACCAGAAGAAGAAGAGAGAGAAAAAGGGATAGTAAGTGTCTTTGAAGAAATAATTGCTGAAAATTTCCCCATACTAGGGGAGGAAATGGCCTCTCAGACCACAGAAGCACACAGAGCTCCCATGACAAGGGACTCAAGGAGGGCAACACCAAGACACCTAATAATTAAAATGGCAAAGATCAAAGACAAGGACAGAGTATTAAAGGAAGCCAGAGAGAAAAAAAAGGTCACCTACAAAGGAAAACTGATCAGGCTACCATCAGACTTCCCAAAAGAAACCTTACAGGCCAGAAGAAAATGGCATGATATATTTAATGCAATGAAAGAGAAGGGCCTTGAACCAAGAATACTGTATCCAACACGATTATCATTTAAATATGAAGCAGGGATTAAAGAATTCCCAGACAAGCAAAAGCTGAGGGAATTTGCCTCCCACAAACCACCTCTACAGGGTATCTTAGAGGGACTGCTCTAGATGGGAGCACTCCTAAAAGGAGCACAGAACAAAACACCTGACATATAAAGAATGGAGAGGAGGAATAAAAAGGGAGAGAAATAAAGAATCATCAGACAGTGTTTATAATAGC